TTACAGCATGGATATTCTTTACAATATGCACCATGTCTTTAATAGAGCTGCAACAATTAGTGGACTAATCGATCAAGAGAAAGATAACTATCATAACTATTTTGATCATTGATTATCCGATAGAGTTTTCATGCAAAAATTGAATAAAATGCTGTCTTTCGCATCAAATCTGAAGATGTTGTGCTTTCCTATATTTAAGGTGTTTAAAGATATCGTAACTTGTTTAGACGAGTAAAGACTGACATGACAAAAATGAATCCTTTTTTGGAGCTCTATTCTTCACCCTGTCCAAGTTCCAGCTAACAGCAGATGTTGCACATAAGTACAATTGCACAACATAGCAGCTGCACTTCACTAGAAATTGCGTGACTAAACAAAAAGTATGTAAAAAAAAAAAATCACACTTAAGAACAAAAGCTATAGAAATGATCCTGTAGTATGATATTATGTTTGTGAATTATATATTCAGACCAATAATTATACTATGTTAGCTTTAAGTATTAAATATGTTTTTCTTGTTGGATAATGAAGCGTAGACTGATGTCATTTGAACAGACTGCTGAGATAACATCTCTTCAAAGTAAATGCTGAGAAGACCAAAGTTGGAGTAGAAGAGACATCTAAATTCCTCACTTCTGTTTTAGTCATCTAACCTCTGCAAGCATGCATCATTCTTCAGATTTCTGTGATGTTCTAAAAATATATATGAATCAACTGACACTGTAGTAGACTAGACAAAGTATTGGCTTTCACAAAAGGATACTACTACTACTACCAAACACAAATGCAAACAGATACCAACCATGACCCAGAATCAGTAAACCTCAACTCCATAAGAACAGATCAGTAACTGCGTAATTGACACATTTACATACACAGAAGATAGAGACCCAACATGCTCACTGTGTCATAATCGCATGTAAAACGATGTCTTGAGTGATTGTGCGAAAGCGCCTAATAGGAGGGACCAATTACTGAAAATGGCCATGCTCTTTTTTTTTTTCATACATCTTATAAATATACATCATCTTGTCAGAGTAGAGTAGCCGAGCGCAGATTCAGCGAAGCAGCAAGTCTACATCAATGACTCAGTGGGTGTTTCTCAATGTCGAAGACGCTTCCTTGGTAGCACATGTCTTCTGAGTCAGGTCCTTCAGAAGCGAGGCAAGAATCCTTCCTAGCCTCGGAAAGCGAAGAATTGTGGAACAGGCTAACAGGTGTGCAGGTGTGCGTCATATGAGAGGCCCCGCCTTAAATGGAACGCGACTTCCGCCAAAGATTTGGAAATTGGTCCGTGCGCAAAGCATTGTGGGGATTTTAAGACCGCGGAGTCTACACATGTGCAGCCTCGAAATTTCCCGCAACGAAGTACGCCGGCCTCGGTAGAATTCCAAGCATCCTGGACATTGGAACAGTCCTTCGGCGGGCACTCTATGACGTAGCATCCTTGAAATAGTGGCTCTGGAGCAGCCTTCCTCGACATTGAGAAACACCCAGTGAACATAGAAAACAATCTCAACAAACATACAGTTGAAACAAATCCATGCGTCCTGCTGGTCAACCTCATTAGCCTGTGCCCTTGGCAAGAGACAAAGCGTTGACAATTGAAAACACTTCAATCATTGTTATCTTAACAAACACACATCCTGTACACAACAGTTATCTTGTTGATGAGATACAGTCAATGAGCCCCTTTGTCACAATCAACAGCTGCCCTTGAATGCGCCATTAGGGCATAATGACCAGCCAGCCCTTCGGTTCATTCTGCTGCCAGATAGAGTTGTGGTTTAGCAGCAGAAGCCAGTAGCCATCAGCAGCTGTCCTTCATGTTCTATGTCTAGCTCTTCTAAAGCAGTCTCTCAATTCACAGAAAGATACATAGCTGGGGGCAAAATCCTGCCTGTCTACCACCTCAAAGCAGCAGCTGCGACCTGCATACAGTGGGACGGATTAATGATAAGAGCGCTTTCACAACAACACTGTTACATTCATTTAATTCACAGAAATAAACTGGCTTAATGAGTGATAAATAAATATGAGTGAGAAGTGTGAGGGCGGTTTCAGGGCGATGCGTTACTCCTCGACTCGGGTGACCTTTTTTTGTGCATGAGTGTTTGCACCGATTTCTACTGACACGATGCTCCCACCAGTCTGCAAACACCCACACAGTTGCATACACAAAATGCAATTATGTAGGTCTCCTCCAAGAGATCTATGGATAGACAAAAAAGCTTCCCAAGGTTGCATTACACAGACTTTGGTTTAGACTAAAACACTCTGGGCGTACTAAAAAATTCACAGCTTAAAAAAAGGCAGATTTGATCTACTTGAAATGACAATCACATAAGTACAGTGATGTCCGACTATTACAAATGAAAAGATCAATTGAGCTAGATATTCTTTTTGAAAGTGCATAAATTGAAGAAAAATGTGTAATAGGAGATTACCATGATCCCGCTAATGGATATGCTGGCCTTGTGAATCACACATAATGTCATTTCAGGGGGTCAGTGTATAGTCCACTATGAAATAAATGTGTTAATGTGTCTGGATTAAATGTTGGACAAACTTCAATGATGGTGTGTTGTCATCTGCAATGCCAGGAAACACTTGCAGCTATGAGTTTAGATACAGTAGCTGTCTGAGAGGTTTACAGTCAGTACTCTCTTTACTCTACAGTAGAATGATGGCCAGATACAACAAGGCCTGCTTGAGAAACTGGCAGCCAGTATGAGAAACATGAGCCTGTTTGTTGTCATCTATATCAGAAGAATAGTATTTTCCTTCCTTCTTTGGCTGGAACCTAGAGCTCCCAGCTGGGTCCTCCTTAGGAAAGGGTGCAGGTGGCAAGCCCTTTAGTTAGCCTGTTTTCCAGGCAGCCGGAAGACAACACCTGCATCACTTTGAGACTTGTACAGTTTGTACTCTCAGTCCCCTGGTAAACACACTTGGGAGCTTTCTTTGTATCTGCACAAGAGGGAATCGAGGCCAATTTTAAATGTGTGCTAAGCGGCCATAGAAGCAGTTTTTGGACCCAAACAAAGATGCATATGCAGCAGTTCAAGTTTAATAGCGTGACAAAATATAAGCTTTTTAATATAGTGTTTGTGACTTAATATGAAGTAAAGAAGCAACAGAACATTGTTGATATTGCGTCCCTGCTGAATGAAGGAGGAAGATCAAGAGGCCACGGAAACACAACTGTGTATCTGTCTTTATGAAAGGCAATGTTTAGACTGCATGATAAGAGACGAGTGATTAGATAAATTACACTGAGTGAGACGCCGCTAAACTACAATTACCTACCAGAGAAACCCGAGCTATGTTGTTGGGTACTTTGAACTAAATAAATGAGATCTTCAGAGGCCCAGGGAGCGGGCGTGGCAGCTCTCCCAGGTAACAGACTGTGGTGATTGTGCCAGTGGGATCACGTCACTGACAAACCCGAGCTTAATGCCAGAAGAATCCACGGGGGATGTTTGGGCTGTTCAAGGTACTCAACAGGTGAAAAGGTCCATTTTGTGTTACCCCTCTATTGGGATGATGAGTTTGAAAGCCAGAGTGAGTGAGGCAAAATCCAGAGAGGGGAGCATTTGTGTCTCATGAGTACAGCATAAGAGGATTTAAGAAGGCAATGGAGGGCACACATCATTTTCTAGGCCACAACTCCCGAGTGAGTGTGTGTACCCTGCTGCACAGTTTGAAGTTGTGTTGTAGGCTGACTAGTATGGGACATAAGTAGTACAAAAGGAGTGGCTCTGTGAAAAGCACTGTGTTTAAGGATGCAGTCACTGACACCACTTTATAATTAATGTAGTAGAGACACATTTTACCCACTGGAGAACACCAGGAAAGACACTTTGTAGCATTTGAGCAGCCGACAGGTGGCTCTAGCATATCTTGTGACAGAGCTCCTGAACAGTACATGCTTTTTGAAACACTAATGTGTTTACTGCATGAACACCATGCACTGCAACAATATTCTGCATTGTTCTTAGTCAATTACTTTCAGTGCCTAAATGAAATAATTAGCCATGAAGGAGAGAGAGACAGCGAGAAGCCATTGTTCACTAAACCATATAAGTAAGTAGTAAGTAAAGTACACTTAAATAAAAGCCTTATTACAAATAAAATGTGTCTGGTTCGATGTGAGGTTTCTCCCCAAGGGTGACATCTGCTGACCAAAGCCCATTCCTGAACCACTTGTGCATAAATCTTAAAAAATACTAAAGTGATGGGTGGTAAAGTATATATATTCTGATATTTTTAAACAGCAACCCCATCGGTTTCTTTAAGACTACACCACACACTGCTAGCTCTGAGCATGCATAGAAGATACATGTCTGAGGACTTGGTCTAAGATAAGCTACACCAAAGTGTGGGGTATTAAAGAATTAAAGCAGGGTATGAGCCTAAATATAGCCTGAGAACCAATTTGCTTAGGGCAGCGTGATTTTCCACACGTGATACCGGTGATACAGGCCGCTGTCCCTGGTCCTGAAATTGTACCGGGTCCATAAATGCATGTGCTCGATGTTTAGAGAGGAAGCCGGTTCAATGCGGGGAATACAGACATCTGTACAGTATATGCAGACTAAAGGTTAAATATGCATAAGCATGTGCATGAAACGTACAGTATAATGCGGGTTTGCAGGATGCAGATAGTTTGACTACACACCAACTGCAATTCCTCACAAGCAACAGTGCGAGGCGCATGTCTGATGCAGTTCAGGGAGAGAGAATGGGAGAGAGAAAGAGAGAAAGAGAGTTTGATTGATCATGTGGGCTATGGGAGCCTGCGAGAGTTGTCGAAAATTGCTGCATAGACGCCCCTTAGGCACCTATCTGGTACCCACTGACTCGAAACAATACTGTTGCCATAATAACCACAATTCACCAGAGTGCCCGTTACCAAAAGCCCTAAAAGCCAGGGAGCCGTTAACAGACCGTTCATTCTTCCGGGTTGGACTTCACCGGTAATCCACAATACATTAACTTACCGCAGTCCTCACACAAGATCTTCCCAACATCCTTTTTTAGGCTCTTCACACTCGTGTCCCGAGGCGCAAACGATGCCTTGAAAACCAATGGCTCGTCAGTGGGGTCCATGAAAAAAATGTACTTGTGGTTCTTCTTCACTTTGGTACACGGAGCCTCAGATCCAAATTCCCCCACGGTGACGAGCTGTTCTCGCTCCAGACCCCCGCTGTTAAGGGGCCAAACATCCAGCACTTTGACATTCACACGGTACCGCTCCGCGGAGACGTTCACAGGCGTAGACTGCACCTTGCCCTCGATCACCACGGCGGATTTGTAAACCTGGTCCTGCAGGGAATTCAAACTCGGGGAGTAGCAGGCGAATGAGACCCCGATGACCAGCATGGATAAATGTACTGAATCAAGCCTCATGCCGCCTGCTTTGGCTCGGTGGTCGCTGGTCGCGTTGCGGCAGGGCTCTCTGGGCTGCGGGGCGATGGAGCTGGGTTGAATGAAGAGACAGCAAGTAGGCTCCAGTAGCACGGCAGCGCGGCAGACCTTGCATAAGTGTCCATGCCATCGGGATCCGCTGCTTTTCAAAGTGATTTTCAATGGGTAAACAGCAGCTTTGAAACGGGGGAACCGCGGGACGATGCTGGGTTTCAAATCCAGTCACAGCTTACTGCTAATAATAAGGCATTGTAGGTAGGCTAAGCGCGGAATCGGCGGATTCTCCCCTCCAGAAGATGCCCCCTATGCTGCCATAGTAGCCTTAACTGCAAGACGACGCCACTCTTATCTTTGCCCAAAAATTGCAGTGGTGGGGTACCGCTATGATGGTTTTCTGTATCATCTGCAGCGGAGGGAAAAGACGCAAAAATGCTGCAGTGAACCACAAGTTTGGTAGTCCAGTCGCAAAACATAAGCCACGTTTCTTTCCAAAAAATAAAACAATATCTCTGGTCGGAAGCTATAACGCTAACACGGCGCCTTCCACCGTGGCTCTCTCTCCGCCTCCCCCACTAACCACAGACGGAGAGAAAATAATGCCGATTGCCAAGGGGCTCCGTCAACAAAAACGCAGGATTGGAGCACTGATATACAGGCAACCGATGGACCAAAGGGTCGATCTCCTCTCTCCCAAAACCCAGTTACTGTATGTCAATCACTCCATGGTGTTTTATCAGCGGTGATCTCACGTTATAATGAAACAAACGGAATCCTAAATCCACGACTGTTCCTCCTCAGCATCGCATCTTACTGTAGCCAAGGCATTACTCCAAAAAACGAAATATGTTCACGGTGAAAGATGCAGCTGCATATATAGTCCGGTGGGCCTAAAAATCATATGGCTGCGATGACTAAGGCTGCGAAAGCATTTCAGATTCTTCAAGAGACTGTTTTGAATGAGTTTTGCGTCTCATCCCATTAAGTCATGCCCTGCATTCAGGTCACATTCGCTGCTCAGCCTCTAAAAAAACTGATGTTGAAGCACTGCATTAAATCCATACAGCTAAAACAGCAGCAAAATTGGGGTCCAAAGCAAAGAAAAAAAAAACACTTAAAAATAAAACATTTAAAAAGTAAGTTTCTCTGGGTTTTTGGTATTATATTCAGATTTTTTAACACAATATCTCCCATGAAGCAGTTAAATACATGCCAACTAAAGAAAAGAAAAAATAAATCCATAAAGTGTGGATGATATCTATAGCAATGTTAACGTCAATTTATGATTGTAATGTTTAGCTTAGTCTAAATTGAATGCGGATACAGAATGTTGCACTGACAGTATTCACAAAGAGCGACATCTGCTGTCCACACAGTATTTATGAGCTATTTGACACACTTGATGTAAATGCTGCTGTAAATCAAACAGAAAAAAGTACTAAATAATAAAAAGAAAGCACCCACATTTGAATTCGTTCATACAACATATGCTCAGTGTGGACTATACAAATTCACGTGGCCTAGTTTAGGAAAATACATGTTGCAATTAAAGAACCCTAAAACTCAGAACAAGCAAATGTCTATTGTAAATGTATAAGACACAGCTACAACTATTATCTGTTTTCATCTGTACGCAGACCTAACAGACCTGGCTGCTCTCCGTGGTGCTGAAATCCTACAAAGCCTTTAAATGTAGAGTAGACTATAGATTAGACCTGTATGCTTATGTAAAACAAGGTATAACATATTGTATTACTGAACTGATTGTGAACTGAATCCCTTTTTCCCGTAACAACTGCTCATGTGCCTTTTTAAACAACACTAATCACAGAAGAGAGAGCAGGCTTCGTGCATGGATGCAACAATAGCTCCCTGACAAATCCAACATGGAGAGTGAGACACGTAACATATTATCAACCTGAAATTGTAAGAGGTGTTAACAGCAAAGCTTACTTTCTTTTTGAGACAGTGCCCTTTATAACAGTTGCAGAAACTGTTGCCTTACCTGTAACCACCAGAAGGCAAAGCTGCAACTCCTCAGTAGAACCAAGGGGGGGCGCTAGTCTTCGGAGTTCCCACAGTGCGTGTTGACATCAGAGGTGAAGCGTGCGGCGTTGAACTTGTGCGTGTGTTGCTTTCCGTGCCACGACTCGCCGTTCCTTGTCCATCTTGTGAAGCAAGCAGAATCAGTCGGTCGAGGTGTCATACAAAGGCCTGGCAGCCACATACATGTGTCTAACGCCTCGCTTGGTCTTCCGCAGCACGCCTTCGATGCTGTAGGCGCTCCCCTCTGCAGACTGAGCGCTGTAAGGTAGGTTATGGGATCTTGCTAGGTTGCAATGACGCTATATGTACATGTCATCTGTATTGTTACCGCGTCCTGCAGCAGTTAAGTGTCCTAACGTGCAGCCAAGCATATGAAATCGCTCCAAAGAGTGTACAGAAGCAGAATATACAGCATACGGTCGTGCGTCGGACATAATAAGCCGGCTGCATTTGAAGCAGCGTCACTGCATTCCGGTGTTGGGATGTAGGGCAAAAACTTTGAGAGCAGACCACAAAGGCTGCCCTTTAATAAACTGCGACGACAGATTTGTTTTTCTTTTAAAAAGGTCAAATCTGTGTTAGACGTCATTCAAACAACTGATTCATATTCACGATTGAAAAAGATTCTGAAAATGGTGCATGTAGGCTATCCATTCACGATAGATTAACTACATTTGACAGGTTGTTTGTTGTGTGCTGGAGTATCTAAGAAACCACGAAACAGAGACAGGGCGAGGGTCCCTCTGCAGCCTATTAGGTAACCCAAGGAAATGAGGCAGACATATCACATGTCCAAGGACGTTTTGGATTATAAAGTAGTGTCAAACTCTAAATGTGGATTTTTTTTATGGGTAATTAGAGCCTAAAGAGAATATTATATTGTACGCAAATACAGTCTGTATTATAACAAAACGAAGAGACCATCTCAGTCAGAGTTTAAGTAACTTACCTACTTTGCATGCATCCAGGCTCGAGTTTATCACACACCTGGTTGAGAAAAACATAAAACAAAAAAAAGGGATCACGTCACGCAAAAAGGCTAGCGTTGCTTCAACAATATAAATAAATCAAAAACATTTAAAGCGTGGGTAAGGGATGTTGAGATGAGGGTAAACCAGCAAACGGCTAACAAAGCCTCAGTAGGCCTATATGGACATTACAATCCTACGAGGTACATGAATAGCCCTCTTTAATTACTTTAATATGATTTGCTTGCGTAAATGTTGGTTGAGCTGACTAATAATGTACTCACTTATTTAACATTTCTCCAAACATTATTTTGAAAAACGAGACGTGACAAATGCTGTGGAGCTGATCAGGAGGCCGGGCGACGTTCGCAGGGCATATCTGAATAATTTCCACAACATATGTAAACTTAAATCAAAGAGTTAAAGAAGAATTCAGGTAAAGTATGATAGCCCCCTATAGGCCGGCATGCCTCCTCACATGAAGGATGAACCAAATAAGTACGAGTAAACCACTCACTTTCAATACATTAACGTTATTTCTTATTCCCAATGGCTTTTCAATTATCAATAATAAATCCAAACAATGTAGTTCTCTAAAATGATAATACATGTTGAACTTTATTTCCATTGTATGAAAAAATATATATATATATATAGTATAAATAAATCTAATGAATGTAAACATTTTAAGGGTATCTTAGTTTGTGCGTCAGACTTCCTTTAGTTCCACTCAGGCCTGCTGGCACTTTATGAAGCTTACACTAAAGAAAAAGTCCACGTTTATTTATCATTAACAATTCTGTCATCGTGGAAATTTTTATTATTATTTTATATATAAAATAACATACGCTGTTGAGACATCAAAACACCTAAAAAGGCTAATCAAAGATCTAATTCCAGAAACGGACCATCTATCATTAGGCGATAACAATAAACTTGTTTTAAGCCAAATAAAATGTTAAAATTATGAATGCTTTCACTTGCATACGAATAAATGTGGCGTGCATACCAAATATTCACTGAAAGAGTTCTTATTCAGCGTTGTATGTAAAGGATGGTCAGCTGGCCTGTTCCCCTTAGCGGCTAAATATCCACTAAACATCTGCTTCTATTAAATATTTTCATTTGACTTTGGGGGCGGGGGGGGGGTGCGCTAGTGACTTATCCGACCGGCCCACATCGGTAGGCTACCGGCCCATCGGGATTCGTCCCGAACGTCCCGATGGCCAGTCCGCCACTGGCTGTTCCCCATGGGCCATAGCGGCTAAATATCCACTTAGTGCTCATGCGTAATCATCTGCTTCTATTAAATATTTTCACTTGACTTTATTGACTGGAATTATTAACACGTAGCACTAGCAAGTAATGGCAAAGTTATTTGAGAGAAATATTAACATACATTTCCATATCATACATTCATCCACAGCAGCAGCAAATTGGCACCATGCATCGAAATAACGCCAAAGAGGCAAAGAAGCTTTAAGTGAAATGTTTGCGCTATCAAATGTGTTTACAGGTGGACCAGAAGGAAGAACATTACAGTGGAGAAAGTATCGTCAGCATGGGAATAGTATTTTAACAACTGACCAAAAACAGGTATGGCTACATTAAAAGTGTCGTGTGTAGCCTAATAAAATGTGTTAAAATCCGTTGATTGTTTTTGTTTTTTGGAGTAGACATGCATGCAAAACTAGAATAGTCAACTGTAATCACAATAAGAAAGAATTAAGAACAGAAATGTTGAGCTTTTTGCAATCACATTTGGATTCAATAACAATATGCATACATCATCCTCTTTTGACAAATCGTGTGTTTATAGGGTCCTACAGTAGGCCTAAACATAGCCACCAGTCTTTTCATACACTATGCCGTAAAGCACAGTCAATTATGGCTTGCGGCACAATTGACATCAGCTGTCTTTAAATGCGATTGCAGCCTGCAGTCAGGTAGCCAATATGCAGCTTAAAAATGAAGAAGAGGTGGGCCTAAACAGCAGCACTGCCACTCACTGCCACAACACACTCAGACTGAGCACCTGGACGAGGACACATTCACATCAACCTAACGACGGTAAGCTATGGACTGGCGTCATAAATTAGATAACTTAAATAAAAAATGATTTACCTTGATGGTCTCTCCAATGCCAAAGATACACCTAAGTAATCCTTTTATTCCATGTGTGCTTCTCGTGAGCGCGCTTGTGGCAGTCAGGGACAGCGTGCTGGTCGTTTAGGCCCAGATAGAGTTAAAATGTGGCGAATCTGCGAGTCTGAACGAAAGGCCTAATAAGCAAACGGAAAGAGTTTTTATTAATTTATTTTCGTGAACATTTGGATTATCATATGAATTCAGTCTGCAGTTGCTGAAGGTAGGCCCACCAGCTTAACTCGTCTGATTTCAAACCCTAAAGGTTGATTAAAAATCGATTTTAATTTTGACTCGAGTTAAAAAAAGTCACATTTACATAATGACACCAACTAGTCTGGCCTACTATGGTGAGGTGGCTCTGAATCCTTGCATTCCTAAAACTACAAACATTTGGGTTGAGGGCTTTTCCCTTCATCTCATTGCCATGCCAGAAAAGTAAATGTTGAATTAAATATGAGAGAATGAATTGAATGTGTTTTGAAAACAAATATAGTGATGTTTCTTAATTCACAGGTGTAGTATCAAGTTTAAAAATAGCCTAATTTACACGCAATGCAGAGTCGCCTGCCATAGGCTATTTAGTATGCCTAGGCCTTAGCCTTCATTGTCGTTAAAAAATATAATTAAAAAACGGTGATCGTGACTAGCTTAGGGAACGAAAGTCTTAACAATTTGGCTCAAGGGACTTGTTTGTCATGACAGAAGTTTCCCATGAGTTGAGTCAAAAGAAATGAATGAGTTTGGCAAACATGTGTGTAGCCTAGCAGTAAACTATTGTCATGATACCTTATCATTGACTAATTCGTAATGTATAAGAATATTGAGCATATTAAACATGCACAGAGCTGATGTAACCAGTGTTACTTGGAAAGATGAGCATTTTTCCTCCTACTTTTTGAAACAGAGGGCAGGCTACAGTCTTTCCTAGGTTGCAAACCCCCCGTCATTTTCAGAGGCTCTTCCGGTGAATCGAAACTTAACCAGTGCTAGGAGGAGTTGCATTTCTTCCAAACAACCCTTGTTTCATTTGCGTTATGACAGCCTATGATAATACACCCTGTGTGAGGGAGAAAACAGCGTCCTTCTCGCTCTGCATAATGTTTTCCCCCTCGCCTCTTTATACCTCTCTGTGTAGATCTCGCGAGAGCTCCGGCGTTCTCGGTGACTGGCCGTGGCTTTGCAGCAGACAGAGGGAGAAGGCAGGCAGGCAGCATCATGGCGGACAGAGACAGTGGTAGTGAGCAGGGAGGAGCAGCCACGGGCCCAGTCTTCGGTTCCGTGCACCCCGCGACAGGAGGGGCGGGCTCGGCTACCGGGCTCCAGCATGAGACTCAAGAGCTGGCGTCGAAGCGAGTTGACATCCAAAACAAACGCTTCTATTTGGACGTGAAGCAGAACGCGAAAGGCCGCTTCTTAAAGATAGCAGAAGTCGGGGCCGGTGGAAACAAGAGCCGCCTGACTCTCTCCATGTCGGTGGCTGTCGAGTTCCGTGACTACTTGGGGGACTTCATCGAACATTATGCGCAGCTGGGTCCGAGCAACCCGGCTCTGGTGCAAGATGAGCCCAGGCGAGCACTCAAAAGCGAGTTCTTGGTCCGGGAAAACCGCAAATACTACATGGATCTGAAAGAGAACCAGAGGGGTCGGTTTCTGAGGATTCGACAGACCGTTAACCGGGGGCCCGGTTTGGGATCCACGCAAGGCCAGACCATCGCTTTGCCGGCCCAGGGACTTATTGAGTTTCGTGACGCTTTGGCTAAACTTATTGACGATTACGGTGTAGAGGACGAACCTGCAGAGTTGCCCGAAGGGTCATCATTGACTGTGGACAACAAACGGTTTTTCTTCGACGTCGGATCCAATAAGTATGGTGTGTTCATGAGGGTTAGCGAGGTAAAGCCAACCTACCGCAACTCGATTACCGTGCCCTACAAAGTGTGGTCCAAATTTGGGAATACTTTCAGTAAATATGCCGAAGAGATGAAGAAGATCCAGGAGAAGCAACGGGAGAAAAGGGCAAGCGAGATGCAGCAACAAGAGGAGATGCAGCCAGACGATGGAGAAGAGGATTGATATAGATAGCAAAAAAACATGAAAGAATAACGAAAAATAACAAGAGAAATATAATTAAAAACTCTACTGTATAAAGAAAGAAATCTAAAGATTTAACTGTAATGGTTTAACTCCAAGGGAGCATCACCCACAATATAAGAAACCTCCACAACCTGACAGTTATGACATGTTGTCACTCATTGCTGGATGTTATCCCACTTATCCACCATTAATACAGTAACAGGCTGCTAAACAAAGTAATAACATTATATTTGAACATTGTTTCCTACTTGACAAACAATATTGAACTGAGTGTTTATTTCCCTTATTAACAGAACTTTTGTACCAGTTAAAGCTATTGTAAAACCACAAAAAAATGGTGTCTGCAATGTTCAAGAGGAATTATTGCTGAGGACAACCCGTTTCTTTTTCATGTGAGCTAATGACTTCAGCACAAATCAGATAATTTAATTTAAAAAACCAAAATTCCAAAACTTTGTAAGAGGTTGTCACATGTACATGCCATTCTATTTACTTTTTACATGTGAATAGAGATGTGTTTACACATAAATCATATGAGGGCTAGGCCTGCTTCGGAAACCGGTTAGATGTCATGCAGTATAAAATAAACGTATAGGCATTTCATCAAATGAAATAAGTGCTCTATTTCTCGTGCAATATGCATTGCATACAAATCAAATATATTGAACTGATTAATGGATCTTCACATGATGACGTTTGCCTGAGGCATTCAAAGAAATATTAATATTGTAATTTTGTTTCAGTTTAAATTGTTGCCATGCAGATGGATATATTGTAGACCTTTTTGTGTCTCGTTGTTAATGCAATGTGTTAATTTTAAAGGTACTAAATGTGTAATCGATAGAGGAAATTCTTTGACATGTTGCAAACGGCCTGAATTAGCAGATTACTGAATAAGACAAACGCCCTACACTGATTTGACTTGGTGGTCTGAAAAAAGAGGCAAAAAATCAGCAGAGCATTATTTTGGTTTGTACATCTAAAGCATTTTGTGATCTGTTCAGTCATAAAAGTCCAAATGTTGCCAAGGAGTGCTGTTGCTGCATGTTAATCTCCACTAAGATACATTTAGTTGGTTTCCCTAAAATATTGGACCAAGGACCCTTCCCTATATATATCTTTATCTGCCTGCAGTGTATGAATCTCAAGTTTGAGTACAGAGTGATTTCCATTCAAAGGCTAGGTGTTGTTGTAGGGAAAGTTGTTTCAGAGCGCATTCGAAAGGAGCAGCCTCGCAAACAGAAATCAAAACATTGCCATTACACTATAGGTAGAAAGAAACCAAGGTGAAAGGGGTTCAATTCAGTCAGTGGATTTGCACATTCCTACAAGTTTAAGATCTCAAGGTGTGAAGTTCAGTGGTGCTATCTGGACACGTAGCACCACTTGAGATTTGTTAGCCCATATATCTACCTGCCGGGGCTGATCAGATTCTGTCTAGGTCTATTTGTAAATATTTGGGCTGCCACGTGGAAAACAACTGGTTCTTAACCAGTTCAGTCGCATCTCATAGATGTGTGATAGCAGTTCTATAAACTCTGTCAGTAAACTCCAGAGAAACTGGCAACAATCAGATACTGTCAGATGTTCCACAGCAAAGAATTAATTGATTGCTCCCATGTTTAGATTGACTGGAAACCAGCAGACTAGACAGCTCTTGACCACCTATTTCTGGAGCTTATGGTATAGCCTAAATGATACCTGATTGGGAGCATCCTCTTCAGCATATAAACAACCCGGTGCCTTACACGCTCTGCATGCTTACACGCTGGCCTGATGCTTTGGATCGCAGTTTGGCTTCTTTTAGTTATTGTTTCCTCTCTTTCTTCCATTATTGTGTCCCAGCCCTCTTGTTCGCTAGTGCACGACTCGTGGTGCTAAAAAGGGTTTGTAAAAAAAAAAACTCTTAAGAAAAAAACTTGGTGCAGAATTCTTTTTTCTGCTACCTTCCTTCTTAACTTATTTGCCATCCCCATTCCCTAGCCATCCAGGTATCGGCCTACATGTAAACATGGAAGGGGGTGGACACCTAGATGAGAGGTGATGCAGAGGAGTTGGCTCTTTACTAGCCTAGCGCGTTAGCAGGGAGAGCAGGGGCAGATTGGGAACATTCGGTAGTACGCTGAAATGCTATGAGTTGTTGTTTGGAAGCCAGCCCCCTTTGAAATGCTCCTTCTGTGGCTTGCTATGTGTTAGTTGTAAGTCGCTCAATTAATGGGGAGCAGCAAGCATGTCTTGTTTTTTTCGTTTTACGAAGTTTTACCTTTCAGCGTTATTCCACATTATTTGTAATTTTGGAATGTTTGTGCCCACAAAAAAAAAAAATCTATTTTTTCTGTGCAACATTTCATCACTGTGTGCAATATCGTATGTGCCAATGGTGGCAATATATGTATATCAATTAAATATATAATTACTATTGTAAAGCATGTGGCTGAATTCCATGTTTATTTCTCATGAGGAGTTATATGCCTTTATTTGCACTCAAAGCTCCATCCTGGAGGAAATAGTAAACCAAGGTCTTAGCAGCCTGTTGGGTTAAGCAGTTCACATACGTACTTTAACTTGAAATAGAACAATGTCACTGCAAGTATGCCTCTCTTTAGGAAAAAGGTAAACTTGGATGGGTTGTTGAAGGTAGACTATAAACACACAATGGAGCTTTATTTTGTGAAAAGGAAAACTTTAAAAAAAAATACAATACAGTGAAATCTCCATTTTAGCTTTAAGCTAAGAAAAGGTGCTTCAGTCCAATTCTCATTAAGGTGTATGGTGAACTGTCTTCAGTGGTTGTTGTGTGTAGCACTTTGCTTTTTTCCAGGTTAATAAAATGCCTGACCAATACTTGTTTAAAATGATCTCAACAAAGAATGTCCTTTTTTGTTTTTAAAGATAAAGAAGTATTTGATTTGGTTTTGATGCATTATATATAATTTATGTACATTTGACAAATTTCAAAAATAAATTTAATTTACCCAATGAGGGAAAATCTACATTCAGAATGTATGTGTTTTTTGTTTCATTTCTTGTTGGGAGAAAAAAAACGTCCCCAAATGTCGACAATTCACTGAGGAAAAGTACGTTTAATTTTGATGTAGTGTTGTCCACAATGTCTACATTTACAATGATACTAATTACTAAAGCTTCATTTTACAGCCTTTTAAAATGCAAACTTTGCAATGACAAGTTACTGATTACTCATGTCTTAGAGATTTCTACATAAGTACTGTATGTATAATACCAGGCTGTAAAATAAAGCATTACCTTGTTCTCTAATCATCTGGACTATGCTATTTGTGACCATCCGTTAGCAAAGAATGCTGTTCTTTGAGCTTTACTTCTCATATAAGGCTATAGAAAATGAGAGCTTGTTTATCAAGACTTAACAAACCTGAATGTGTTTAATGATACTTTAAAAAATAGTTTTAAGGTTTGCCATAGTGCTTTCAAACACAAAAAATATTCTGATGTGAATACTTGTTTTAAGATAATACCAATTTATAAAGTTGTATGGATTTGTAGTTGCAAGTTAGATTTCTGTTGTAAGGCATTTTACTGCAAACTAAGGTAGAACATGTTGATACATGATTTTTAACATACGCCAGGCTTTCTCTTTCACCACAACAGCCTCAGTTTTGCTTGTAACTCTAATAGCATATGTGTTGCTAAAACAGAGACGCAGACTGCTGGTTACCAAAATGTTATACGGATAAGTTGTAACACCACAAACAATCCCTCTCCGTGGGGGTCAGAGTTCAGGGTCTGGAAATGCTCCAAGACATTTCTGCAGGATATTTATTTGCCGGGTTTTTGTTGTGAAGTCGATGGTCTCTCAGCATCTTGGCCCCCCTGCTGGACCGGATGAAGGATACAAACACTGAAGGGGATGTGCTAAATGAACTCCAGCCCATCTGCCAATTCACCTTTTGTTGTTTTATCCAAAAGCCCACATAGGATTGGTTTAGGTCATTACAGCGATGTTCGCTTAAGTGCACCAGAACTGCTGATGAATGTATTTAAACCACCCAATTGTTGTACAAGCACAATTTATTCTAATGAAAGAGTATCGGTTTCCCTTTATTTTTAATTATGAGTGTGTCAGTCATGCTACTTACAAACACAATGGCAATGAATACTCAGGATTGCTGCCAGGTTAGACTAAATTAACAGGTTTAGTCTGGTCCAGCTGCCAACATGCTCACTGAGAGAGAACTACTTGATCATGTTCATATTTTATTGCTACTGCAACATGATCAACTAAACACTCCCTGAGTGTATTGTACTATGAACGGCATGCAGCAATGTACAGCATCCTGCCTATTTTTGTTCACGACCCCCTGCATGCATGTTTATTTAATGCTGTGGGGTTGAAGATCTTCTCTGGATGTGTCTAAAAATGCTGCGGTTGCTTTAGCGTCGATTCATCTTTGTTATCTTGTGCTAATGCTGGAGCAGTTTGGCTTTGGTGGTGACGTAATTCATAGCAGTCTTCTCTGGTTTGGACCACTAGAGGATGCTCTTTACTTATGAATAGCAGGCTCAGAAACAAGGGAGAGGAGAAGAAAGAGGAAGACATGTGCCTTTGGCTTCACTGTGGTAACATTAACAGATTTCTAAGCTTCCAGCTGCATGTAATATACATACGTTTAAAATCCCTACATGCTATTCAGACCACTGTTTGTTTTATTGTCTTAACTTTAGATGGATGCTAAAAGTTCCTGAACAAAATGTTACATTTACACCGTGTGACCCCATGTCTGAATGTCACAGTAAACGATGACATTAAAGCATATATCAAGAAATCTGTCATGCAAGTAGAAAGAAATTGTTTAAAGAAGGAAGAAAAAAATAAAGTGTTGGTGTAGAATGTGTAATGATGTGCTATATCAACATACATTTGTCCTTATGTAAACACATCGGAGAGAAACAAGGAAATAACTAGGTTATGTCTGTTTTAAAGGGTTCCTTTTCCTGTAGTGTGTCATATAGGTTTGTGTGCAGAAGATATGTAATAAGTGTTTTTGACTTTATTTGCAGAGCTGATGTAAAACATGTTTTTGAATTTGTTTTGTGGGAGGGAAAGCAGTGGTGAAAACTAAAGATTTCCCACCCCTTTTTCTCAGAACTTCTTTAATGTGTGAAGTCAACTTCCTGAATTGCAGTCTCCCCCTTGTTTTAAATAAAGAGAGACACAGAGAGAGAGAGAGGGAGGGAGATTATGGAATGCTGTGATGTCATCAACCCAGTCACACACACACAAAGACAAGGAGGACCCACGGCGCTCTGACTCTCAGCTTAGTTAGCATACTCTGCTGTGGAGCGGCTGTCTACATCCCACTGTGAGTACTTCAGCACATTCTACCCTTCTCTTACAACTCCCATTTGTCCTGTATCACGTACGCTCTCCGTTCCCTACACCCCTATCCTTGGGTTTCCTTCTCTGCATTGTGTCTGGTAATCTGTATTCCTCCAGTGTGATAGTTCTCAGTCTGAGACAAGCTTTCTTTCCCTCCAAGTGCTGCCTATGTGTGGTAGCCATTGTTTAACTCCCCACTGTGATTTGAGGAGTCCATTGCAATCCCCTTGTTAGAGAAAGCCGGCTCATGTGCTCCTGGGCTATGACCCTGTTGTGTTTTCTCTTAACAGCCAGAAACTAGCAATGTTAAAATGGAGCCGCTATCTCGTGGGAGTTAAGGGGAGAAAGGAACATGGGTTTTGGGAAGGGATGTGTGGTGGGAAGGGGGAGGAGGGAAGAAAGAGGGGGGCACTGATGACAGAAGCAGTCCCATTCCTTAGCAATCTCCTCCCATTCTGGGCTACAGTCTCTGTCAGTTTAGGAACAGGGTTTGGGCTCTTCCGTATTCATACAAGACAGCTGCCTTAAATACACTTTCCATAGGAATGAAAGAGAAAAAGTTTCCCTAAGGTTAGATCAAGAAACATAGAAGACATTGAGAAGGTTTTGAGTCTATAGGGTACAATGTAATCTTCCAAATGTTTGTTTCAAGTGCTCTCTGTTTGTTTTCTTTTAGATTATCCAAAAGATGACCTCCACCTGTCACCACAACACAGAGCGGAAACAGGATGTTGTGTGTGTTTGAGTGAGTGTATGTGTGTAAGATTGTACCTCGTGTACAAAAGTGTGTTTGTGAGGAAGAACATGCTCCTTAATTCATGAAGAAGACTTTCATTAAGAGAGATTTTTAGGACAAAGAAGCGGTGCAAGACTTCTTCTGATGACATGAGACTATAAAACCAACACTTCAGAAAGCAGCTGGCCAAAGGACAGAGCCCCCTACCTCCTAAAGCTTTGTGGTACGAAGTTAACACCACCATTCGACCGCCAACATGCTGCAGCAGATTTTAAAGGACATGTTCATCGACCCTGATATGCTGAACGCTCTAAATGAGGACCAGAAGAAGACTCTGTTCCTGAAGATGCGGCAGGAGCAGGTGCGGCGCTGGAAAGAACGGGAGGAGAAAGAAGGGGGGGACGCCGAGTGCAAGCAAAAAAAGCCAAAAAAAGGTAACGACACATCTCCACCACCACCACTTCACCTTTGTGAACTTCTCTTCTTTCTTCCTGTGTGTCCACCTCAACAGGGTGCAGCGTGACACTTTTGAACAAAACTTTTTCACGGAGAACTTTTTAAAGAATGACATTATGAATCTTTTTTTGTCAAGATGTTTGCATTACAGGTTGTGAATGACGTCCTTTGCTGCTGTAGCTCATGTTCCCCAACAGCTGTTTACCTGAAGTCCATTCTGGCAAGTTTAACAATTCCCCGAAATACAAGCTTGGGCTAACAAACACCAGCTGCTCCACATGAATGTGTATGTAGTGCAGCGTGACATGAGGACAGAAACCAAAGAGCACTTTAACTTCACCAACATGAAGCTCTATTTATATCTGAAGTCCTAAACAATTACGGCGGATTGATGGTGTTGCTGGGTTAATGTTGACATCACACTCAATGAGGATGTTAACATTTACACAAGGGAAGTAAAGTAGATGTCAGGGTAAAATGATATTCACCCTGAGAGTGTGTGAGTGTTTTATAGGAGGCATTTATTAATAGTTTTTAGTATGAGGCAGTGTGTTTATGCGTTGGCATGCACATCATTTTGATTTCAAGCTCTCACTTATCATCTTGTTCCCAGTCACACCACACAGTGAGCCTAAGAGCGACAGATGAAAAATATCCACTTGATCAGTTGTCCCTCATAACCGGAACTTGTGACCGAAACATAACCGGAACTTGTGTTTAATGGAAACTAGATACAGATGATGAGAAAAAACACATGTGGGTGGGGAATTAACAGGCAGTGTGGAAGTTAAACGTGTGTAATAGGAAGTGGCTTCTACTCAAAAGCAACAGTCAACAATATACATGCAGCGATCAAACAAAACAACCAGAAACTCAGGAGGCCGTGAGTTTGCCCTGAAACTGGTTTGACGTCTTCTGCAAAATCCTGTCTGTCTGCATTTTCTCCACGGTGTCACCAAGTAGTATGAGAAACGAGTGGTGTAATAACACTGACATAACAAATTGTGCTATTTTAATATTCCAAGGAAGGATTGTTATTGTAGATGACGAATCTAACTACAAAAAGTTCCCGGATGTCTTGTTGTACTGGGCATTGAAGATAATAACTGATATTTTCAAATGAAATACAAATATTATGTTAATGGTAACCTACACATATGATAGATGTAAATAATCCCTCTTAAAATATCAAACAAATCACCTTTTGTATGCTTTTGGTTAGTTCTGGTTATATTCTTTCCACCTTCTTACACTTGTTTTTAGGGTGTAATTCATTTGTATAAAAACAAAGAAAATGAATGTGGCTAATATCCTTATTTAATTCTTTAAATTGTCTATCGATATCACGATAACAACATTATACAAAATGTATTTGTCATGTAGTGTAAATCTGATTTTGCGACCACCCTATATAAAACAACACAGCTGTTGCTAAAAAAATCTTGTTTAAAAGTGACTTAAAGCCAATTAACACACACAGAAGTTGGTGTGTTAACTCTGATTAATAGAGTAATGTGATCTTCCTTGCCTTGCCTAACAACAAAGGTCTTACTATATACTGTGGTGCAGAGTGAGAGAACAGAGGCTTTTTCTATATCTCAATGACCAATGCAGCTGTCTTTAGGCTGGATGGAGACTGCAGGCTGAGATCACATGGTCACACAACTCCTCTCCACACAGTCTGCAGAGGAAATGGTGGATAGTTGGTGTTTCTGTGTAAAAATAGGAAGTGAGTCAGTTCTCAATCCCTCACACAATTAGCAGTGAGCGAAACAGGAAGCATGCAGGAAATGTATGTGTGTTGGAAAACAAAGAGAGTGTATCTGGCTGGCCTTGTGGTAGAGCTCGCATGCTAACTTTGTTTTTATGTAGATGATGTAGCCGGCGTCTCTCTAGGCTGGAGCTAACAGTGTCAGCCTTTAAGACTTTCTCAATCATGGGACTTTTGCTGTTGTTCGGCTGGCTTTAGGGTTGTTTGTGTTTATGTATTCTGTCTCATGACTATGTGCTGGGCTGTTTGTGTCCCTGTGTTTATGTTATGTATGAAAACTGGTGACATTCACTTGAGGCAGACATGGCTCAGTGTAGAGCTTCTTACTTTGATCAGATAAGTTGTTCTTGAGATGTTGAAAAAGGATATCTTAAATTGTTTTTGCACACTGTTTAGGACATTTGACAGTTATGGCTATGTATTTATAAGAATCTGGTGATATGACATCCATCATGATACAGGGGAACCATTCTAAATATTGCTATATTTTGCGATACTGTAAGCAAGGTGTGAGTAAAAATAAGTTTTGATGCAATCAGAGCAGTGTTATCTGCATTTGCCTTTATCACAGTCCCAGTTACATCCAACATCACAAAGGTTTTCATGTAAACTATTAAATAATATAAATAATACAGTACAATAAAGGGTTTTAAAAATAGATGCAGTATCAGGGAACATAATGATCAACTCAAGTCTGACAATGTGTTCTTACACTCCTAATGGCAGCACATTAATCTTCCTAATGTGCTTTACTCAGCTGACAGGAATCATCTCGCCTGACAATGGTGTTGTAGCTGTCAGATGGGACTGATACAAGTTTACCCAGGTATTCTCTGACTGCTGTGTTTTCGTAGTCATCCTGGTATGCCCTGCCTCAATACGATCCACAGGGCAGGCTGGCAAAACCAGTTCACTATGAACTATGTTCACTATGTTCACTATGTTATCCTGTGTTCAACCCAGCAAGCTGTCACCCTCTGAACCCACGTCAGATCCCTTTTCTCTTTAAGTCACTTCTGCATGCTCCCAAACAATAGTCACAAAGCAGTCACATGGTATGAACGTGTGTCCTATTGTGTTTGAAAGCGTATGTGGATTCAATGTCCTCACATACAAAAAAGGAAGTGTAACACCAAATATCAGGTATGGATATTTTAGGGTTAGGAATTTGGAAAATCTGAATGATTTCATATTAGTAAATTAAAACAGTTCAAGGAAGGTCTTTTAAAACTAGATGTATACAAAAAAGGAGGGCAGTGCTGCTTCCCCCTGTCCCCTCTTCTTGAATACTCTATAGATCCTCTCTTGTGTTTGCATTCTGCTGCCTTGCCCCACCAGCTGTTGCTCCTGTCGGTCTAACCAAAACAGCAGACTCAACTTATCGGAGACACTGGTGGTGAAGTTGACAGTTTACTTCAGAATGAACAGAGCCAGAAGTGATTATCTGGAATATTTAAAAAAGATTAATTGCTAATTTTCAGGTTTCATATTAGTATGTAGTGTCTCTACTGTGACATGTTTACATGCTTTAATGTTCAAAAAGCTCTTTCATTTTCTCATACAGCCTGTGCTGCAGCACCTCTTTTCACCCTCTGTCTGAAACCAGAGCCCACTCTGCTCTGATTGGTTAGCGGGCCAGCTCTGTTATGATTGGTAAACTGCTTAGAAATGTCCCGCCCCTTAGCCTATCACGTACAATGTTTGGGAGTGCTAGCCCATAGAAGAGTGAGTGTTGCACAGTGATGTCATTATGTTATGGAAGTAAACAAAGGAGTCCAGTGTGTGGGAGAGAAACTTACATTTGGGATTTAAGCCAAACATCTGTATAACACACTACAGTAAAGGGAAAACCCCCCAAAATGAATAAGGCTCCTTTTTTAAAACTGGAAAAGTTCGGAGAAAGTGGTATTCTTAAAAATGTTGATAAAACTGTGCAACTTTTGGCCAATTACTGAAAAGGACACATTACTGTACATTATAAATCTTTCTATCATTTATGTCTATGGGATTTGTGTGTTATTTCCTGTAAAAAATATCATGTTGTGGTCACACATTTAGTTTATTTGATCCTGAGTTGTAATTATTTTCTTATTTGGTCAGTGTTTTGATAGCCAACTAACCCACATTTTGTGTGTTTCCTCCAGCCAACAGTAAGAATGTGAGCTGGCTGCTCGGACGGGATGGAGACGTGGCGGTCCTTGTGATCGGGGAGTTGGATGAGCTGAGCTCCAAATTCATCTCCTCAGGATTCGTAGAAAAGAAGTCGCCAAGTCTACAGAACAATGCACAGTAATACACTTTTTTTTTTTTTTAAATACATCCCAGACCATGATTTGATAGATTACAGGCAATGAATGATCTGTAACCAAAAAAACATATATTCTTGTTTCAATTTGATATCCGGAAGTTTCTTTGGATACATTATCATGATACTATGAAGATAACACACATTCTGGTTTATAAGGAGATATAATTTTGTCTGATTATGTTTTGCAGCCATCAAAGTATCTTGAAGAGCAGAAAACCAACAGAACCTGTTAGAACTGAGAGAGAAAACCCCACCCCTAAAACACAACCTGGTATTTCGCTGGATTTAAAGGTGTGTATATGTTTGTCCACGGCAAACAATTATGCTATACTATTTTCCTAGTGATTTTTCTTCATGTGAAATGACTGATTAGCCTCTTTACTATTTAGTCAAACAAAACAACCTGATCAAGAACAAAACATTATTTGTCTAAACTGTTCTTAAGACTAGTCCTTTTTGTCTCATTCCCTCAATGGAAGACTTTTTTAATTCACTTCTGTTACCTGACGTACAGTTTGTGAAAACTATCAATTAGCCTTTTTGAGCATCACTTTTCAATTATTCCTCCTCATACATTTTTATTTAAGCTTCTCTTTTGTGTGAAAATAAGCCCTCACTGTGCATCATTTCCAAGGTGGTGATATTTTATGTGTGCACTTGGAGGTGTGTGAGGTGTTGATTTTGTGTGTGTGTGTGTGTAATGGGGGGGTGGGCTCCTTTTTTTCACGCTATCTTAAAAAGAAATTTGCTGTGTTGTCATGGCAACCTTGCACACACTCAGCCAGGGCGAGCCAGGCGGACGGTCTCATCTGGCCTGACCACGATTCATTCAACCACTCAGTCATTTTTTCCCCTGCAGTTCACCCCACCCACTGCACAGATATGTTCCAGTTACATATGCAATCATTCTTCTAACTCTTATTTAACTCTGGAAACTCTGTTCTTCCCTGCTCCCTGAAGTACTGAACTGACTCAAAGTTAAGGAGGATGACGTGTGGCCTCTAGTATCATCTAACATGGCACTGTCTCTCCCAACAGGGGAAGTGTGGGGAGTCGAGCCCGCTACTCCCTCTGCCGGTGAGTGGGAGCTCCTCGCCTGCTACAATTTGAGCTCTGTGCTTGCATCATGGCCTGTAACACTTGTGTAATGTCTTTGTTAAACCCACAGGTGTCAGTGAGTGAGCATCCATCACCTCCAGCTGCAGAAAAGGTATTTGCAAACTAAAGTACAGAGTGTATTAAACCTTAAAAGTTGCTGCAATCCAGTTATAGAATTTGTATAATATACTTCTTATGGTATAGTTTATAAAGCAAAGAGCAGCTTATGTTCTGGTGTCAAATTCACTCCGAGACACTCTTATTATTTTATATCTTTTTATGCATGCTACTTAGGTAACATTAAGCTGTCTTTGGCTCTTTTCTGCTGTCGGACTAATACAGGTATTCTGATTCTGCGTCTGATTTAAAACACAGTCTCACAGATCACAGCAAGGTGTGATTGATTAACAATCCTCTCCTTTGAAACGTGGCTTTAGTGTCTTTCTTCGACATGGCAGTCCCACCCCTTGTGAGTAACAGGAAATGGTGGTTAGGCCAGCTGTCCCCGCACTCCCAGCCTCTCTTCAGATCAGCTTTCTCCCAGCATTCTGCCTCTCTTTCCCCCCCCCCTCTCGCCTGGGCTGCCGCACCCCTCACAGCCCTCTCTCCGGGGAACAGCTGAACTGAACTCTCCTCCCTCTGGCTCCATCATCGCTCCAGCCTTGGGTTGTCCGAGGAGTATGCTCTCCATCTCTCTCTCCCGTCTCTTTTATGTGTTTATATGCAGGCAAATGTGTGTGTACGGTGTGTACAGCTGAATCACAGAGGCAAGGCGGGATTTCTGGACTGCCCTAGAACAGATGGTTGATGAACTTGATCAGGGAATTAAAAAGCCAGAGAGAGCGAATGCGTCAGTCGCAGATGGATGGGATTGTGGGATAGTCTCTCGAGGTTTGGGCGCGTGAGCTCCCCTCTGTTCTCTGTTTTTCCCTCCTCTCTGCCATAGAAGGAGATGTCTCTCCCTCACTTCCTATATCTGCACCAGACTATAAGAGGCCCAAACTCATCCCTGGGCAACTCATGCTGATGTGGCAGTGAGCACCCACACCTGTCTGACAGCCTCCCTTTACAAGATTCATTATCCTGGAGAACGTCTTGTTTGTAGGTAGAGTGATTTGTTTCTGGAAACAGGAAGGGGGTGTTTCAGTGCTGCAGATGTATTAGTGGCTGTTGCTGAGAGCCCCACTGCAGGTTTTCTCCAGTTGATTTAGTGAGGGAAGGAGCCAGAGAGAGGAGGAGAGAGTGATTGTTGATTAAGGAGGCGTAAGATCAGGACGGAAGATTAGCCAGGTTGCTTGATTTCCAAGTCACCTTATAATTTTCTCCCACAAATAATCTTTGAACTCTTAATCAGCGGTCATAGTTCTGTGTGTCTCAGCGCAGTCATTGGAGAACTGTAATTTGGTGAATCATTTATCCAATGATTGAATCAAACATGACAGTAATTCCACTGTATGTGAATAAGCTGTCAACACTAATCACGCTCTCCTGTGCTCTTTTGTCACTCTTCCCTCTGCAGCCCGAGCTGGAGTCAGCCAGTGCGACCGAGGAGAAGTCGGCTCCGCAGCTCTCCATCTGCTCCAGGCCTCCCATGAGAGCCAGCCCTGTCAACGTGAGACCAGCTTCTGCAAATGCTGCACCAGGCTCTGTCAGCCCGAGACTCTGCCTCGCAAATCTGAAGCTGGCCACCGCCGCAGCGTCCCCTTCCCCCAGCAGGAGCACTGTCAAAACAGACTCTGGCACCACCAAAGGGGGGCTGCACCCACAGGAACCTCAGAAACCGAATGAGTCACAGGGTGGGAAAGGTGAGTGAGCAAAGCGTCACGAGGAAGGGAACATGATGGGGCTGATGTCAAATGAAATAAGATCTCTATGTTCTTTTTCATCTGGAATTGTTTTCCAGTCAATGCAATCTTTTACTTGTTTACACCAATAGCAACAACCTTAAAGAGGCCCTGTTATGCTTTTGGGGGGGTTTCCCTTTCCTGTAGTGTGTGTATACGTTTATTTTTTGCATTTAAATGGTCTGCAAAGTCTTAAATTCTAAAGTTCTCTCCAGAGGGATTTTCTCTTGCATAGTCACATCACCATGCACTCGCTCTTCTATTGGCTGGCGCTCCAACAAGTTGTAAGTGATATGCTGAAAAAAAAGGGCCTGGACACCTTTTTAAGCGGTTGACCAATCACAACAGAGCCAGCCAACTAACCAATCAGAGCAGACTGGGCTCTGGTTTCAGACAGAGGGTGAAAAGTGGCGCTGCAGCACAGGCAGTATGAGAAAAATCAAGAGCTTTTTGACCATTGCAGCATGTAAACATGTCACAGTAGAGGCACAAAATACAAATACGAACCTGAAAATCAGCATGATAGGGCCCCTTTAAGAATGGCTGGTGTCATCATGGACACAGCTAATAGAAACATCTATTACATTAGGATAAGGATAGGATATAGAATCGGAAAGGATTAAGATAGTCTCTTAACTATGAAAGACTGGACACGGATGTGAGTTGCACATTTACTCAAGTTTGCATCCAACACAAACCACTGGTTTAACAAGAAAACTATTTTTCCTACTGCTCCTTCTCTGTGAGCAATAATGGCTGCGGAGAGCTGAGCAGTCTGAACAAAGTCCATACTAGATAGATTTCTCAGTGCTGCAGCACGTAGGAAGGATTTATTTCTCCAAACCCAAAGTGCTCGCCAAATAGTGCCTCAGCCCGCTGGAATCTTTATGTACTGGCAGAGTAAAAAGAGGCCTGCCCAGAGGGGGAAAAAGCTTCTGTGACTGGGATTTGTGACATCGTACTGCATCGCCCCCACACACCTGCTTCTTTGGTAGCTTCTCTATTGTCAGTTAGCATTGAAATTGTCAATAAACACTCTTGCTTGGTTGAGGTGCCAAGATCAAGGCAAGGGATACACAGGACAGACTGCTATACGATGGAACAATAGTCCTTCAGATCAATATTACAGGATTATGGATTCAATGTGGGCTGAAATGAGCATGAGCAAAAGAGCCATGTGTTTTTTATAAAGTTATAATATGAATCTCCTATTTCTCCTCTGCTTTTCAGTTATTTGGCATCGTTAGTATGCACCTTGTATCCCACAACAATAATAGAATGAACACTGCATTCACTTAATATCAAATTGTATATCATCAGATAGTTTTACGAAAGTTAAATATGAGGGGCACTACTTTTTGAAGAAGAGTATGTTTGCTTACATTCATCAGAGCGTTAAATAATATCTGTATATTTTAGTAGATTGCACACAAGAGTATATATTATCATCATTAAACCGGTTGAAGCAGGTAACTTTGTCTTCGGGGACAGTGGTGGCAAAACGGACCAACTCCATGCATTACATTAAACTGGTGATCTCATTTCACTCAGTTTTTCACAAACCAGTGGGAAAACTCTGACTTTTTTCTCTCTCTTTGTGTGTATCATGTGTTCTATATTTATTGCGTATCCCCGCCTTTTTCCCATGCAGTTGCTCTTAGTTTAGAGTCAGAATTGTTTTCTTTATTACAGATATGTAAGGCCTCGATATGGTTATTATTCTTACAGCATGTTGTGCACATTACTTCTAGTTTAGTTTTGTGATTCCCAGACTTCCTGTCTGAACACAGCAACCAATTTCATGAATTGACCAAACACTCATTCACCATACAGTGACCCAGTTATTTAGAAACATGAGGACTGTAAGGGGTGAACTTGGCACCATCCAGTGGAAAACAGTGATACTGAATAGAAACACTCCAATTGGATAGAGAACATGATATCCATAGGGTCCCTCTGCTGGAAAAATGCACATCCTACAGCCCACTGCAAGCACACACACAACTGTTCTTGGAGGCTATGGGAAAACATAAGTACAGCTTGTATACAAATTAAGACTCTGTGGGAAAGGTGTCACTCATGGTTAAGAGTCAAAACTAGCATTGCCTCATTGGCTCAATATCATGCTTTAGAACACACAGCACACACAGTGACATGTGTTCTCTGCATTTAACCCATCCTAGTACCAGGAGTCTAGTACTAGGAGCAGTGGGCAGCTATTGTACAGCGCCCGGGGAGTGAGGGGGGAAGGGGGGTGTCCGGTGCCTTGCTCAAGGGCACCACGGCAGGGCAGGAGGTGAACTGGGACCTCTCCAAGTAGCAGTCCACACTCCATATTTTAGGTCTGGTCGGGGACTTGAACCGGCGACCCTACAGCTCCCAGTCCAAGCCCCTACTGACTGAGCCACTGCCGGACATTGGCTAGTTTAATAAAGTAGTTTCAAATTAACGCTGTATTAGAAAGGAATTGACATGTTATCATTTTCCGAGAAAGAAATTATTGAATGTTCCTTCAGATCACTTCCTTCAGAAAACATACCACAACAGCTAGCATGTTTTCTAACATTGCAATCCTCAAACTTTCTTCCTTTCTTTAGTTTTCATTTTCATTTCTGGCACTTTATTGTAGATTTTGGAGGCCGGGCAAAACTCTACAAAAGCCAGACAGAAGAGCGCTACCAAGCTCCTAATATTATCCCGAAGAGGCATTATTCTGGAAGTATTTATGAAATCATGTTTGCTTATTTTGGCTGAACATACAATTGAACAATGAAATAGTGAATTTCTGCTCCTAACACACGTGCAGAGAGCTCAGCGCTGATCTGTCGATTGGATCAGGAACATTTTTCAGACAACAGAAATGACTAACACCTGCAAAGAATGAAGAAACAAAAATATATAATTCCAATGAATCATGGTTGCACCGGCGTGTTTATGTGTGTGTGCCTGCACCCACATAGGTGGCTGGATATGACACCAGTGGGCAAAACCAGGGCAATGAATAACAGAGAGATGAAGGGAGAGGAAAAGAAAGGGAAAGGAACAGCTGGTGTGGTGGGAGTGGAGGTGGGCTGAACACTGCTGGATAAATGTATCTTGACTGTGGACAGAGAATACTGACAGTGTGTCTGTCCTTGACAATGGCAGGATGCTTGTTTCAAAACGCGGAGGAGGCTGATTAGGATAGGGCCCATGCCTCAGCTTTTGAATGTGGTAATGACAAGGATTCCTGCATCCTGCGAGGAGAGAGGGGGTGTTTCTCAATCGCGAGTAAAGCTGCTTCAGAGCCACTATTTCATCGAGTGCCGCCGAAGTACTGTTCCAATCTCCAGCATACTTGGAAATCTACCGAGCCCGGCGTACTCCGTTTGGAGAAATATCGAGGCTGCACATGAGTAGACTCCGCGGTCTTAAAATCCCCACAATGCTTTGCGCACAGACCAATTTCCCCAAATCTGTGACGGAAAATGTAAGACGGGGCCTCTCATATGACGCACACCTGCACACTTGCTAGCATGTTCCACTCTTTGTTTTCCGAATGCCAGGAAGTATTCTTGACTCGCTTCTGAAGCAAGATGCTCGGCAGACATGTGTTACCAAGCAAGCGTACTCGCGATTGAGAAACACCCACGGTGTCCCAGACAACAGTTGGAAAAGATTAATTTAATAATTAATGTGATGGTTGCCATATAGTACAACGTTTGGAAATGTAGTTTTATGAGATTGAATTAACAATTGAGTAAATAAAGCACGTAAGAGTTACGTTTTGGTTATTGTCATCACCGTCAAATATCAGGAAAGAGTTTTATGATAGTAGATGGAATAGAGTTTTAATTTGATCTGAAGTAGTCTACTTTATTATCTGAAAAGTAAGATTCAAGATGTCATAACTTTTAAAAAGGATTGTGTTTTGACGACAGTTTATTTACTTTATCTCTCTTCTTCACTATTTGGCTTTTCAGCGTTGCATGTCGTGAAGTGTTTACTATGCTGTCAATGTTGACCTAATGAACTGCAAACTCCCTCAGGAGGAAACATAATAGATTTTTTTCCCAGCGCACATAAAATCTGGGTTAAAATGTGTTTTAACCAATCTACTCATTCAAAAAACCTTGGTATTTTTCCATTATAATCTGAAAATGAGAGCCTAATTGACCATTTTAAGCTTTGTCTAAAGTTAAGTGTCATCTGCATGACAATGAAAGTGAATCCACGTATTATAGTTCATACTTCAGATAACAGGGGTCAGTCTAAGTGTGTTTGTCATATAATATTAGCATATATGCGTGAATATGAAAGTGTATCTCCAGCAGCTGGCGGTATGTGTTCATATGTGTGTGTGCGTGCGATCATGTTTAGAAACCTTTCGTCTGTCGGTCGGCTTTCCTCTCCTCTCTCTTCACCTTCAGAGGGAAGGACACACATTCCAGCGCTGCTTCCCGACTCTAGCCCTGGGCGACGCTCAGCCAGAGCTGATAAGTGACAGGGGCCCCAGCCCCCACACAGGAGGGCCCCCCCCCTCGCTTCCACACACACACACACACACACACACACCTCCTTTCCTCCCTGCCCTTCAGTCCACAGACATGCTGCTCGGGAATTCTGCCCTCTGCCCCACTTCAGCCCCCCACCCCCCCCCTCGTCCGAGCCCCCCCCCCCCCTCCTCTCTTTCTGCCAGAGACGTGGAGGTCTTTAAAGAGATAGATTGGTCTTTAATTTTTGTGCTAGCCTGGTCAGTGACACTGCTTCCCGCCCCCACCTCCTTTGTCTCCCTGTACATTTACGAGCTGGACTGAGATGTGAGGAGTGGCGCTTGAAGGCTCAAATGGGAGATTAATCAATCTTGACGAGTGATTTAATGCAGAGATTCTCTTTCATTTTAATAGGTGTTTTCGCAGGTAGCTTTAATAACTGTTTCTGCTGACAGGGCTAAGAGTGCAGCTGCTTGGGAGAGTTTCAGGCAGAAAGGCGTGGGGTTTGAGCAGTTTTTGGGTGTGTTAAGACAGGTTCGTCAGGTTACCTGTGGGAGGGTATGAGGTTTTGCTTCAAGAAATACTCTGAATACAAACAGTATCATTTATATACAAATCTCTGTATATAAATGTGTTATTTATGCACAGTCCAATGACAATAACACCAATCCTCCATCTGCTTCACTTTCTATCTCTCCGTCCCTCCATTAAGCATTCCTCTCAGACCTGCACCAAGGCTCTGAGCTAAAAAAACTGACCACGAGTGTGTATGTGCCTGTGTGTGTGTGTGTGTGTCTGCGTGTGAGCTCGGTGCGTGCCTGAATGTGTGTCAGCCTCAATTGCTGGAGCCTATCCAAGGTTTCCGTGGTGACCACACAACACAACGAGACAATCAGAGGCAAGCCCACGCAGCGCGGCGAGAGGACATTAACACAGGAACTACGGGTCATGGGGCAGAGGAAGGCAGGGCAAGACAGGGGGAGAGGAAGATGAAGAAGAAAGGTGGAGGGAGGTGTTAAAGCCACAGGGAGAAGGGGAGAGAGAGAGAGAGAGAGATAGAGAGACTGAGAGACTGAGAGACTGAGAGACTGAGAGCGAGGAGAGAAAGGAAAGTAAACAACAATAACACAAGCTTAAAGGCAACTTTAGGTCTTCCATGCACTCTCATGGCTCCAAGACATCAAGAGCTTTAGTGTGTGTGTGTGTGTGTGTGTGTGTGTGTGTGTGTGTGTGTGTGTGTGTGTGTGTGTGTGTGTGTGTGTGTGTGTGTGTGTGTGTGTGTGTGTGTGGTGTGTGTGTGTGTGTGTGTGTGTTGTGTGTGTGTGTGTGTGTGTGTGTGTGTGTGTGTGTGTGTGTGTGTGTGTGTGTGTGTGTGTGTGTGTGTGTGTGTGTGTGTGTGTGGTGTGTGTGTGTGTGTGTGTGTGTGTGTGTGTGTGTGTGTGTGTGTGTGTGTGTGTGTGTGTGTGTGTGTGTGTGTGTGTGTGTGTGTGTGTGTGTGTGTGTGTGTGTGTGTGTGTGTGTGTGTGTGTGTGTGTGTGTGTGTGTGTAAAATTCAACTTTTACAAACTGTGTGAACGCTTGTGCATGTTTTCACTGTCTCTGTGTGACTGAGTGTGTGCGTGTGTAGCCGTGCACGCGGGCGCTCTCACATATCTCTGTCCCCCGGGGATGACGCTAAAAATATGTGGCTCCTCAAGCCTTCTGGTGTCTGAGCAGCGTCTGTCTGCTCTCCATTGCCGTCCCTGTGGCCCTCCCTCCCTCCCTCCGTTACTCCTGTTCCCTCCATTCCTCCCTCAATTACACCCTCTTCCAAACACAGTACCTCAGAAAGCGCACACACCAACTACACCCAGCTGTGTCCCTGTACACTTCCACTGAGGATGACCTCTGCTCAGCCAGAGTGGGATAAAGGGAGACGAATGAAAAGGAGCAAAAAAGCAGGTAGTAAAGAGCGAGGAGAAATGTAGGCGCTGTTTTTGCAGAGAGGAAATTATCGGGTAATGTGGGAACACTTCATTCCTGTTTTTGCAACAACAGCATACATGCAGCATACGAGGGGGGGTGGGGGGCTGAGGGAAACTCTCATGGTTTATCGGTTTTAAACTCCTTTTCACCTGGATTTCTTATTCTTATTCTCCCAAAAGGTGTTGTGTTTCCATCTGCAACAATGCCCTGCTGTAGAGTACAGTCCCTTTGAGACAGCCCAAAACATCATCCCTGCACATTGAAGAGAAAAACTGAGAGAAAATGCTAATGAGGCAATCGCTTTGTACTAAAATCACTCCCAGGAAGTTAAAAAATAATGTGTTATTCTGGAGGAAGAAACGGAAAATGCATTTAAGAAACAAAGATTAAAATATATTCATAACCCTTGAATTAAAGGTTCTGAAAATTGTGTTTTGGAATAAGTTTTTTGTCATAAGCCAATTTAGATTTTTTTTTTAAGGGGCCCTATTCTGCTCATGTACAGGTTCATATTTGTATTTTAGTGTCTCTACTGTGACATGTCTCCATGCTTTAATATTCAAAAAGCTCTTTATTGTTCTCATACTGCCTGTGCTGCAGCACCTCTTTTCACCCTCTGTCTGAAACCAGAGCCCGGTCTGCTCTGATTGGTTAGCTAGTGTGATTGGAGACCTGCCCCCTTAGCCTACAATCACATACAATAAAGGGGGGGGGGGGGGTGTGGGAGTGAATCTCTGGAGAGAATTTGGGGATTTTAGCCTTTGCAGACCATTTACATGCACACAAATCTATATAACACACTACAGGAAAGGGAAAACCACAAAAAGCAGAAGCTTGAGCGGAAAAAATGCTTTCCTATTTAAAAAAATTAAAAAATGTAGGTGTACTAATCACTTCTCTGTGCATGTCGCCCATGGAGTTGTTTTTTTAGATTTTTGTTTTATCTCTCCCTCTCTTTTTTCAGATCTAGGTGCATCAGAACCGTCTAAGAGGGCCCCGGTGGGGGCCGCGTCGTCGGGGGGGGCTGCAACCTGCGCAGGGCGCGGCCGGGTGGCTCAGCTGATGAAATCATTCAGCACCGAAAGCACTACACCCCCCGCAAAGAGCCCCCCTCGCGGCATCAAGCCTACTCTCCCCACCAAGCCAAGCCACTTGCGTCTAACGACCACACCTACTGTCAGGTAATCCTCACACACTGATGCACAGGCGACAGCTGAATCCCACAGATTCAAACAAAGCCACACTGGACGATGTCGGACCCCCAACATGGAGCCTCAGCCAGTGGGATAATGGGATAGAGAACTCCAAATATAAAAAAAGAGAAGAAACTGGCAATGTTTCCATCACCCTAAAGCACAGCAATGGAAATGCTTGAATGTAATGGTTTTCTCTTATTTTGGATGCTGCAGTACTGTACACACTCTTTGTGGGAAAGAAATTCCAAAGCAATTATTTGCAATGTATTTTTCCAGGGAAATGACTATCACATGTATTCACTTGACGTCGATGCTTTCCACTTGGTGTAAAATGTGGGAAAACATTTTTTTTTTGTAAAATACACAAATCCTATACAATATTGTTTACTTATCAATGACATTTTTGACCACTTATGAGTCAGTTTGAGCTCATATAGAGACACAGGACAAAAGATAAGGCATGGGCAGACATAATGGGGTGGAATATGGCACAGTAGGGTCCTCCTTCATGTGTCTCCTCTTTGGGAATACTGCAGGGTTGTTTATTTGTCACAATGCAATGTATGTGTCCCTGTGCCACCTGGCAGGAGCCTGGCTGCGACCTGTTGTGGACCAATGACAGTGCCAAATGCCTCGTCTGTCAATCCCAGTGGATCATGTTAGACAGTCGCTGCCAAATAATCCTGCTCTGTGTTACTCTTTTGCAATTTTTTCAGTACTATTTTGGAGATGTTTGGTTGTACTTTTTCCTTTTTACATTTTCTATAGGGAGAAAGACGTTTTGTAATGGAATATTTAACATTACTACAATGCTCGCTTGTACAATGAGATCATTTTTATCTTTGACGTCAAGTTGTATGGTGCAATCAAAGAAACAATAAAATTGTGTAACTTGTACACCTTGAATTTTTTGTTTTGTATTATTTTGTCTCTGTATGTAGCTTCAATCCTCATAATTCTACACTGAAATAAAACATTTTTTAACTAATTGAAACTTTGATTAGAAAGCAAAACCACAACAATCACAAACATGTGCATGCTTCACAAGGGCCAGTATTTAATGAAATGTTTCGCAGGGCCACACATGTTTTTTGTTCTGATGTTGTTCTGATATTAATATGAACTTGCAGTAGACGTATTTGTTTAAGAAAATCTCCGTAGCGTGTGTGTGTGAGACGCATGCACGACGCATGCACGCTGGGACTGATGTGACAATAGTCAATTGTTCAGTCGTGTTAGGGAAGTTCAAAGGACAGTGATTCATTGAGACTCATACTCTCCAAAACAGCACCATCATCATAGCTTTCTTTCTTTCTTTTGAACAAACTTTCACATTTGTTTTCATTACCAGTCATTGTTTCGGTCAAGAATGGGAATAGGAAGAAGCTTAATTAGGATATGTTCTGCATCTGGAACCAGATGTGCCCCCCCCCCCCCCCCCCCCCCCCCCCCCCCTTTCGCCTTCAGATCCTAGAAGAGATTCCTCTTTGTTTTTTTCAAGAAGACATTATAAACATCTGACAAACTGCTGCTCTGATGAATATGACTATTGTTAGTTTGTTAAGATTATGTTTGGGCAATCTGTGCGTTTATTTGAAAGTGACAAGTCGAGAGGGACAGAAGATGTGGGGAAATAAATGTTGGGAATGACTCGCTGGGTTGGAGCTTGATATTCATTCAGAATTTGACAGAGCACAAACAGCAGGGTTTTTAGCAACATTTCTTTTATGTTTCATTTTCCTATTCATGCTGGTAGGAAATAACAAACAAGATACATTTAATAATTGATTGTATAGAGAGTTTAGGAGTAAAACAATTGCAACACAGTTCAATCGCTTAGATTGTTTGAACTTAGCTGATAGGAAATAATATCCTTTAAATGCGGTGAACGTGTGGCTTATTAACCTGTCCTGTACACAATTTCTCATCTGGGAAAAGACCATTCAAAGTTTATACCGCGCTGCCACTCAATATGGTAAGCTGATTTAAAACCTTGCTGTTCAACATGTGTGCACATATGCAAAATCATTACTTTGTCCAGCTAAACGCATGTGTGTGTATGTTCCCATGTGCAAAGTCAATACTTCATTATTTCAAAACGTCCCTGTGTCACATCACAGGAAAAGTGATATGTCTCTGCTAGAAAAACCTTCAAACAATGCCCTCCTGTCCAAATACACATGGATCTTCTTGAGTGTGTGTGTAGGCCCTCATAGAGGTGTCACTATTATGCTTCACAAAGTGCATTATGCTTTGACAGATAGCTCACAGGGAAGCAATATGTGCATGCACTGTTTACAATCAAATGAACAGTAGGCTCATTATAAGGACTTATACATGAATGATTTTCACTTTAAAGCACACACTGCTGCAAAACGCTGAAGCAGACAACTGCGAGATGCCGCCCATATCTCTGTTTCCCAATGAGCCCAACAATGGCTGTGGCTGTTCTCTGATGCGCACAGACATCGTCGAGCAGTTTCCAGGAGATATCTGTGGCAAGTCCCTTGGTATGCCCCCCCCCCAACCCCCCTCCTCCCCACACACTTCTCCTCTTCATCCACCGAGCCTGGCCACTGCTGTCGTCAGTGCCCTCCGACGGGAGATAAAAAGGCTGTTGTTGTCTCTCCTCGCAGGAGGGATGGACGCCTGTTTCTCTCCTTTTTTTTTTTTTTTCCTTCTCCTGCCTCACTTGCTTCCCACCCACAGAAAAGAAGAAGTGAAGGGGGGAGAAAAACAACAGTGCGGAGGAGAGAAAGAAAAAGCTATGCTGCGTGCTGTGGCGTTCCACCACACCACCAATAACCCCCCCCTCCTTCTCCTCCACCAGACCCATCCACAGCACCCCCAGTAGAGAGAGAAAGAGCGAGAGTGGAGAGGAGGGAGGGGGGGCCGGGGCCATGTGATACGGAGAGCATGCGGGCACAGCTTCACCCCCAGGCAGAATGAACGGGGGCCTGCTGTGTCTCTCCTGCATGATTAATCTGGCTGAGGGGCAGGAGGACTGCCACAGCCCTGCCTGAATTAACTCCCTACTCTCCAGGTCCGCATGAACACACACACACACACACACACACACACACACACACACACACACCAGCACTACACCCATGGTCAGACTCAGGTTGATAGTGCTTCATGTGTGTGTGTAGGTAGTAAAAGAATACCTCTAAAGTTGATTCTTATTGAGGTATCTGATTCCGGCTCCATTAACTTTAACTGTATACTTGTCTTTCACCAAGGGCACCGTCTCACTGGCGTTTATGCACTGACACGACACTAATCCTTCAAAGAGTGCCATGATGGTCGGCCGCTCAATGGTGTTGCTTTTTAAGGTAGTTCTGGGTTTCTGTGAGTCATCCTCTCATGTGACCTCATGTCTCCCAGGCAACATAGTGGATGTTTTCTGGATCCGTTCTTGTCTTTTGTGTAATTTATTACAGGCAGATGGTCCAGGAAATGTGGCTAACTTCAAATTTCTCCCTGACAAAGAGTATCTGGCATGTGATGGTCAAAATTTCAAACCAGCATGACAGCTTCTGAGGAGGCCTGTCATATTGTCTCACAATATTACACTCAGCTAATGTAGACGTGCTGCCAGAAAATAATGTATACTGTCCCACCCACGACTGGCAGGCCTGATTTCTTCTGTGGTTGTGTTTTAGTGTTTCTGTGAAGCAGGAAGTGCTGTGAGGACGGGGTATTGTGCAACAGGGGAGACGGAGCATCCAAAGGGAGGCAGAGGGTTAACATCCTGCAGTCCGCTCCACATTAACTGGAAAGGAATGAAGTGTCAAGCATGTTTTCACCACAGCGAGACGGTCAAAACCCGACCCCCTCCTCCTCCCACCAACCACTCACCCCTCAAACCTTCTCCCCCACATCACCCTCACGCCTCCCACTCCCAACAACCTCCCACAGCCATGACCAAATTATTTTCCAGCCTCCCGAGATTTGCCGTGCCAGACAAAAATCTGCAGCGCACGCTCAGCCTCTCTCAATGTCGTTCTGAAACCAGGAAGAAAAAGGTCCTCCATTTCACTAACTTGGCCTCAGTTGAGCTGGCGCTTTGTGTGTTTACTTGACAGATGTAAATTGCTACCAGCCATACAACTTGCCCGTCTGTGTGTTTACTTTCGTTTAACAATGGCTTGTTAAACCGCCATGTTTTGCAAGTATCAAATGAATCTAGATGCAGGTAAGGCCCTGATCCAGATGTTCTGGTTTGAAAGGGTTGAATGAAAGTATTGAAGGAGGCAATGAGAGGAGGAGAAAGCACAAGGAAGAGAAAGAGGACGTACACTCAATGATTGAGAGAATAAGTGAAAGGGGGAGAGGAATGAGAGTGAGGAGAGACAGAACGAGGGAGGGAGAGGGAAAATAAGCCCCACCAGTGAGCAGGCCACACAGCCCTGCCAAACTGCTTGAAAAAAAAGCCCCCTCTGTTTTATTTATAGTGCGCTGTATCCATGGCAACCGGAGAGGTCAGGCAAGCTGGGCCTGCGCTTCACCCTGCTCTGGGGATTAGGATTTCACAGAGGTTCTCAGATGTGAGGAAGGTGGGCTCGAGCAACTCGCTGCTCGCCAACGCAGCCCTCCTGCCTTTTGGTGAAGTCTGGGCCCTCCGAGGGAAGAGAGGGGGAGCAGCCGGGAGTCATGGGAATACTGTGGGAACGGTGGTTTGTGGGGCTGGGAGGAAGGCACTAGCACGCAGGGGAAACGTACACGCACGCTGGCAGTTGCGTGCAGAGCCTGTTTCCATTATGTGCTTTCTGTCACATGAACGCTTATTGGAGTTTTATCCTTTTTATGCTTTGTTTCTTAGAGCAGAGTCAAAAAAGGTCATGCAAGGTCATGGGAAACTTTTTCTTTTGGCACGACTGGTACTGTTACTGTACAGAAACGACTAATATTTCTGGTCATACAAGTAAATACAACTGTAAAAATTGTGACAGATAATCCCCAGAAATTCTAAGATCATTGTGAAAAAAGTTGGATCTTGGCTTGAGTTGTGTTCTCACTAAGAATTTTTCCCAAGCAGTTTCAAAGAATTGAAGCAAAATCATTTTCCCCGCTTTTTTCAATATTTGCAGGCTTGTTATTTTCATCCAAAGAGAAACTCCTTCCAAAACAGCTCAGCCAGTTGGAATGAAGTATTTGGATGAGAGAAGCAGAGAGTGGTAGAGCGAGAGTGAGAGGGTTAGAGAAGAGATGAGGAAAAAGCTGATTGCCCTGCAGGAAATGCACGGTGTGACTACAGCAGAGACCTCCAGATTCCTCCTGGGGCAAAGGACGTGCGTTGCTAGGAGATGGTTGTTGGGCTGGTGTTGCCATGCGTGGATGCTGTTCCCTGCCATGCTCTGATGTGCAGCAGGACAAGGATTCAATACTCTCTTAGGGAGCATGTGTGAAAGGACCTCAAGAGCCATGGAGGAAAGAAAGGAAAACTGTGGTCCATCATCATCGTCATCATCATCAGGGACTGTTAGTAATGACTTCCCCTGTCTCTAGGGGGCACTCTTAACACCTGAGTCACGGGATCAACAGAGCCATCTTTCACTCCCTAAAACTGTGACCAATCCAACGTCTGTGGTCTCCAGAAATAGATGTCACAGGCTCATGATCATTGGAGTCGCCTCGGAGGTGGTCATTTTCTTCTCCTTGGAGCTGTTTATGAGGGTAAAGGAGGACAAGATGTCAAAGTATAAAGAAAGCAAGACATTCTCAAGTGGTAACGTAAAAACCAGAAAGGTTAGAGCAAACAGTCACCACTTTGAGTATAAAAGTTAGAAAATAAGTTACAAAGATTTGCTCAATACCAAAGATATCTTTGCAGCCACTCCACAAAGAGAAAGAAAGAATATCTACGCTGCCTTCAGAGATCGGGGAACAATGATCGCACTTAT